ATATATATATATATATATATATATATATATATAAAGTGAACCAAACGTTTCTTCCCTATTTTTTTTTAAATAAAACATCAAAATATAAGAGAAAATTAAGCTTAAAGTTAGAATTTATTTTAGTAGGATGTGATTTTTGGCTCATTCTGTATAATATATAACAAAGTACATTATCTCATTTAGCTACATGTCATTTGAAATAGCTATTAGTCAAAACAGTTCATTATTTCAAATTACTATTTTAAAGGGAAAATAAAATGAGCTCAAGCCTCTCTCTCTCTCTCTCTTTCACAATTAGTAAAGACTGCATTAGAGGCCTACCAAGGATTAAGAAACACAGATCACACTATAGATCAATCTGTCAACAGCCAACATTGCTTTAAGCAATATGTCGTTTACTCGATCCGCAATAAATCAACCAATCAGTCTATTTAAATCGCATACATTACTTTTCTACCCCTAGACGTGTGCGACAAACGAACAGCTATGTCCAGAGCTTCCATAAAAAGCTTCGAGTTCGACGTGTCCTCTATGTATTTCAATATCTGCCTGATGCCGCCTATATTATCGAACAGTTCAACCGTGGTAGGGTTGTCACATGCGAAACAGAGAATCTTGAGCGCATCCGCGTGAAGATCCTCCCACTCGATGTTCTAAGTAAGCACACAGATACGTTCTCATCAAATACGTTTCGAAATACGAAAAGATCTCCGTAAAATTTACAAGGATATTTTACGTCCAAAAATTTCAGCAAAGCTCCAAGCCCGTTCGTACGTCGGAAGCGATCGTGCAGACGATCGTCTTTATTCCTGCGCATCAGATCGGCCACCACATCGAGCGCCAGCTTCTGGATCTCAGCGTAAGGAGAGTCGAATAACTCGTACACAAGTTGCAGATCGAAACTCTGGAAAATCATAGGCCATTTCACAACCTGATCTCTCGCGGGTGGAGTCGTTCAACTTTTCGACCTTAGTTTCGATGATCTGCTCTGCACCAACGGGATCTTGCAACAGGTTATGTACGATTTGCATAGTGTTCTTCTTCGCATCGGGATCCGGCGACTGAAGTCTCTCGTGCAGAAAATTTATGTCTCGACAGTGTTTCAGCAACTGCGCTATTCCATAAACATCCTTGGTAATCTCTGCCAGGATCAAGGAGGAGAACTCGTGCATAAAAGTGTCACGTTCGTTGATCAGGACTTTGGTGAAGTGCGGGATGTAATAGTCGGAATCCAGCAGGAAGTCACGGACGTTAGGGATGGCTACCATTTCAGCCAACAATTTTAGCGCGAATCTGTTTTATTTTTATTACAAAAGATTACAATTAGATTATACACGTACATACAGAAATTAACAATACATATTTTTTTGTTTTTGATATTTCAGTAGAAAATTATAAACGAATAAATTAAGAAAGGAATGGAACATATTTGAAGTGAACCTTCGTGTAAACAAATCCTCGTGCGTGATCAATGGGATCACACTGTCCATGATTTCAAGATCGAACAAAACTTGCAGGTTCTCCCGGCATTTGCCACCAAATTTCGCCAAAGCTGCCGCGGCGGCCAGCAGAATCGGTTTCTCTTCGCATTGCAACAACTGTATCGCCGTTCCGGGATACTTCACTTCCAAACGGAGAGGGTCGAACTGATTCTTCGTTTGTTGTTCCCGATCTATTCGCGTCTTCCCCTTGGATACGTACTTCTACGCGTGATTTTCGCACAATTTGGTACATGAGAGAAAGAGAGAGGAACAGACATGCGGAGCACGCGTGTTTTCAAAATCGAATCTTACGGTTTCACGTTTTGGTCCCATGTTTCTCTACCTCTGGATCGAAAAATTATTTACGATTTACCATGATCGTTAGAATTCTACGATGAATATATCTGTATGTCTAGCGAGCAAAATGTATGACACGAATATGGCTGCGTTTGAACATCTTGGGATTTTTGAACGCTTGTATATTGCCTGCACGGTGTGGTCTTTAATTTAAAAGAAATCTTAATTTAACAGTGATGTTTGATATTCTCTAACACTTACAATACATATTTCTTAAATATATGTATTTCCTAAATTAAATGCAACTGTGATAATACGTGTAATGTAGTACCCTTTTTCATACAAGATAGAGATCTCGTATATCGTAAAATACATAAACTTCTTTATATTATATAATAATATACATCTGTATAATAATTAGGTACTTTAAAATACTAGAATTAATTTATAATATTGGAATTGCAACAGCGGTAATAGTGAGATCGATTCGATTACACGTGTTTTCCACCAATACTATAAAGAAAACATTGGAATATATAAATATCTTATAATATATAATAAATTTGTAACTTTTTTTAGTATAAAATTATATAAAAACTCTCTACGTTTGTTTGAACGATTATTAAATTTGTTCTTAAAGTAATTATATTATACTATTATATAGTATACATAATTACTGTCGTTTTTAGCTTTCGCTAAAAAATAGATTTCATATTCGGTATATAAGTAACATCGATCTTTACAACGATAAAAATTAAAAACATAAAAAAGTACAAAATACGTGTGTCGATATGTACAATGCAATATTAATACAATAACAATATTATGGACGGACGAAACGTTTAGCCAAGTCTTGCAGTATTGACTTTTCAGTCGCTTAATAAATCTTTCCATTTTTCTATATACAAAATACTTTTTAGTATCTCCAGTTGTACTAAAAGACACTTTTCCATATATATGAACACACATTGTTTAAGGAAAACCTATATTTCTGATTTCAGACGTCTGACGAGCTTGAACTTTTGTTCAGAAAAATAAATAATGCAACTATAGGTAGAAAATGATGAAATAATACTTTAAGAAAAAAAGAAGGAAGAAAGACATTATACAGCTGTTTGTGGGACACCTTGAACTAAATGCGTCTTGCTTTTAGTTTTTGCTATTGAAGACTGGCTCATAGCTTTGCTTAATCTAGGTTGTCCATTTGGTGAACTGGTAACAAATCCTTCGGAACGCATATCTTTCAGTGAGATGTTGGAATTGCTCCTTAGCGATGGAGTAGAGCTGAATTTTCGATTATGCGCCAATCGTTCCTGGAGCTTCGCTTCATTCTGCCGTGGTATTCTAGATCTGACCGGTGGTGTGTCACGATACTCGTGGATGTTTTCTTTCGAAGCGCGAGTCATATTCTCGATTCCCTCCGAGGGTTCGTCGTCTCGCACCATGAGGATGTCTCCGCTATAGTAGTGGTCAGATTGTCTGAACATAAAAAGAACATAAAAAAACCAGTAAAGAAATTTATTACGGTAACGATTATAAAAATAAGTTAATTCCATGATTAAAACCAAAGATTGTTATTTACTTCTTATCCAATGAACTTATTTTAATAAATTAATGAAGTTCAAAGTATGATAAAATTGGTGCACTGTTGCGTGTAAAAAGTGTTTGAATTACCTGCGTATAACCTGGCAGCCTTTGTCTTGCTGCATGAATTACAAGCAAAGATACGATTAATAGAAAATATGTTTAAATGTTGTGTTAATCGTACGCAACTGTCAACGATAGTCTTTATAATCTTTGTGAAAACTAGTCAGAACCATCACCCTCATGCACTACGGGGTTAGACGAAGTAGTCATATAGGGTTGGCTCTGTTTACCTTTTCTTACCTTTTGGCATTGCGCCAAAGCATACAGCACACTACAGAAAGCACGATTAATAACAGGCAGGCAGTAGAAACTGACCAAAAAGCAATTTGCAGGGGTTGTTTTGGTTCCCACCAATACTGTAATACAGAAATAAATAAACAGAACATTTATAATAAAATATTCTACAAATTTATGAAAAATGATAAATATATGGCTCTTACTTCAGTAACTGGTGGATACGTAGGTACCAGACGACCAATAACGGTTGGCAAATACATAGACCAGAAAGCACTTTCAGTTTGTCGATAGTTCAATAATATTGAACTGTTGTAAGTGGTGTTGATGTTCAAATACCGCAACTGTCCAGGTTTGGCAACATCAAAGTGCAATCCTAATATTTGCGATGGTGTAGGATTTCTAGAAAAAAAGAAGGTATTACACATATATTACATATATATACACATATACATAAGCGTCGTAATTATAAACTTACCCGTACGTTGCAAAATTTGCGTACGCTTTCATGAAAAAATGACTCATATTGCGATCTTTGTCCGTCCACATATCTCGTTTTAAGTTCCACTTTTGAGGGAAAAATTCTGAAAAGACAATCATCTGCTGATCACTTTGTTCCTAACAATTACATTGTTACTGTGAATGATTACTTACCAATGTCCATGAAAGGTGCTCCTGTTAACCAAAGAAGTTCAGTGTTGTGAGAAACACTGCGCCACTGTGGTAATCTCAATGCTTCCATTGTTGTGTTTAGTACGTACAAATATGTAGGTACACGTTTCTCTACCAATAATTTTGCTATTTTGTCAAAGGGAGCAACATAGTGAAAATCAGACAAAAGCTGAAAATATACAATATTGTATAAATACACGTATAATTATGAAAGTGCAACTGCATACATATTGCATGCAACTTACATTGATATACTGATCACGAATGTGGGTTATGTTTTTCGGGTCTGGCCAGTATGTGTACATATATTTTATAGCCTCGTAAACTCCTTGAGGATTTAGAGTATAATTATATTGAAGAACAAGTTCCCAGATTTTTTGGTCGAATAATTCCGAATCTATGATATATTGATTCCTGGCTAACGTTGCATTGTTATCTAGAAAGAATTAACCGTATATTAACTCATAAAATTATAAGGATTCATGAAATTATAAGGATTTAAAATTACATACATATAAGGAATGCAGCTTCCTGAGTAGTCACACCAGCCATGTATGCCAAGTTGTCCGTAAATTTATTACTTTTTATGCTTTGTTCAGGTGTCTCTACAAAGAAACGCCAATCTGCTGCTCTCCAGTCTTCGTACCAACTGTCACTTGGTACTGTAAAATTAACATCCAACACAGGAGCCCAAGGAAACGTACCAATGTGTGGCTTTAATTCAGAATTACCCAACTCGAAGAAAGATCTACCATTCCTCAAGCACTGCACCAATTTCCAACTACTTTCTATGCTACAGCCTAATGATTCTGCATACACTCTGGACGTATTTTGCGCTCTGTACTTATCCATTATAACTGCCCAATCTGCCAGCGCAGAACCTGACTGAGCTATCACTTTCGACACCATTTGTCTGGTTTTAGGAGCGACCATCAACAATCCAGCACTTGCTGCTCCGGCCCCGGGTCCAAAGAGAGTTATTGCATCAGGATTGCCATTGAAGGCTCTGATATTGTCGTACACCCATCTCAATGCCATAGCTTGATCCAGAATTCCATAATTTCCAGGGCTATTCTCATCTCCAGTACTTAAAAATCCTAGAGCTCCTAACCGGTAATTGATAGAAACAACGACTACATTGTAAAATGCAGCCAGGATGTGAGCTGGGAATAAGTTGCTAGCCCCGTGGGTAAACTCTCCGCCATGGATGTAGAACATCACCGGATATGCTTGAGCTAAACCAAAGCTGATATCTGGCGTAAAAACGTTCAAATACAAGCAATCCTCGTCGACATCGCGAATACCTTTGGTGGCACCAGTGTATGCGCTGGGCTGAGGACAAGCTGGTCCCCAATCAACAGCTTGCAACAACTGCCAACCTCTGTGAGGTCTAGGTGGTTTAAATCTACCTTCCTTCGTAGGCGGCATGGCATAAGGAATACCAAGGAATACGTTAACATGCTTGGTAACTCTTTCAACTGGTAAATTCCAGGGCCTGTGTCTTGCTTGTGGATCATCATACAAGTGAACCTTGAATCCTTGCACTTGTCCATAGGCTGTGATCACGGTCACGTCTCTGTCTAGATTTTTTGAATCAGGCCTTTCTCTTCCTTGGAGATCCTCTCGCCAGCCACCTAATATCCCAGGTAGAGGTAGTCTCGAGGTTGTGTCCTGAGAAAATGACGATCGTTTTCTAATTACAATCATTCATTATTCATTGAAAACAAATTTATTTATTAAAGTTATAATACAAGTACAAGGTATCGTTACTTTTGAAAGAATATCACACGATTTTTATAGTGAAAAAAGAAAAAATTGTGCAATTTTATTACACCATTATTGTATCTTACTTCGTAAAGGTACCGAGTGTCTGGCGCCTTGGTAGGTCCTCTGTAAACAGGGTCCAGGTAACTAGGACGATATCCGTACCTCCTATCTTTGTAAACATAAGTGTCGGTTCTGCGATCCGGCCCGTTCGGAGGCACGTACACTCCATCGCGACTATAATATCGACTACCCGGGGATATCTGTTCTTGACACAATACCGTAGCTCCAAGGAGGCACAGATAAAAACAGACGCGTCCAATCGATGAACACAAGGTATACGCGGCCATCTTGCCCGCGCGCGTATTGGTACTTCACCAAGGAGGGGCAGCAGCGTGCTTGTCGGTGTGTACACACGCGCAACACTTCCTCAGGCACGTAGTAAAGCGAGGAAACTCGGCCTCTCAGCAAACTCTCGGTTGTACGATGAAAAGCGAAAGCCTCTACGAAAGTAAAACCTTACTTAGTTGCATTTTCATTGAGAAGTACAAAGAAGCCACCTTTGAGAGAAACTAGAACGTATTCTTCCTCTCTTTATTTTTTTTTTTTTTTTTTTAATTAAGATATTGGATTATGGCGATTGTTGCACGTGTGCGCTACTTACGAAATCGACGGGCCAACACCCTGCGACCTGTTCGAAAACGACTATCTCTTCCGCTTCTTGCACTACGGAACGTTGAAATCCATTTTCTGTATCCTGTAACAACAAGTATACGAAATGTTATTATTTCCCTTAAACTATCTTTTTCTCGTTTACATTAACTTTACATTAATTTACAATTAACTTCGCATATTTTTGTCTCAAACGTGCGTGCATGTACCGTCAAACGATAAATATACTACAATATCGACGAGATGAGAAGTTGCAAAAATAATCCGCGAAATTAGTGAAAATCGCTATCGTTCACTGATAAAATTAAGTTGCAGTCTTGCGATACATACGTGGTAGTTGACATCGGAGAAAATCGTTTGCGATACGAACGTTACTCGGAGCAACATCCAGAGTGTACTGAACTTGGTTAATGTTACCCTCGCGTGCAAATACGCGCCGCAATCAAACGCCCACGTACCGGCAAATACTTGTTATATACTGAAATAATCGAGCAACAGGATCTATGAATCCCTATGATTGCCCAAGTATGCCGTCGCGTGAATGGATGAGTTGTATTCACACACTGCACACACATACACGTATATAGAGTTCAGTCATAAGAGCGTGGCTCGTGCGAGGTGTACACGCTTATCTTCCGGAAATTTTACCTGAAATTGATTGTACATCAGTGATGCTCATTCGAGGCGGACATTATCTTTGTATTAAAATGTTTGTAAATTAAATAATTCGAATGTAGGTGATCACTAGATAATTTGATGAACTTGTAAAATTTCGTTCTTACAAATAGACTGTCTGCATACCTAACCTATATATGTTCTAGATACTTGTGTTTTTAAAACATAATCGTTGAATAAAATTAAATCACCGCTGCAGTATCGTTGAGATTGATAACATACCGATGGACATGAATAACGCAATAATCGACGATTTCCCCCCCTCGATTCCGCTATTGCGTTACTTTCATCGTTAAATAATCTCTCTGTCGATTGCGATCGTCTCGAGCTGTTCTTCGCTATTTTGTTGCTTTCGTTAGATTCTTTGTAGTCTATTAAGAATAGAGATTTATATAATCAATGAACAGAGAATTATACATATATATATATATATATCCAAATTGAATGTCACAGTTACAACGTAATTTAACCGGATGCGTTTGGCTGAAAAAATGTTAGTCGCGAAAGTAACTGATAGACTCGGTGACACAGAGATCACGTTGTATTTAGGAACGTGCATTGCTCGAGCAATTGCTCCGAGTTACGGGGCCGGAGATGCAACAAAGTAAGTTTTTTATCTGTCGTCCCCTTTGTCACTTCCTCCACGCGAGTTCTCCAATTTACGGCAATTGCTGGATTTATTACCCATTCCCCAGCTGACTTTACTTGCACGCTTGTACAGTCCCTGTAAAGAACTGGCCCGGGCTTAATTACGCTGGTCCGTTCTCGGCTATCCTCTTGGAATCGTCACGCTTGACACGACGGGGTCGGCTTCTGAGAACAAAAGTGAACGCGAAATAGAACGCCATTCGCGAATTGCAAAAGTAAGAAGAGTCGATTGACATGAAGATACACGTCTCGCCTTCCTGTCCCGATGATTTACGAACGATTCATTCTCGACAGCATTTCTGAAGTTGAAGATGATGGTTTTCTTTTTACGACTGCAATACCGTTCATTATACAGGGTGGTCCATTTAAATATTTCTTCGAATTACGATGATGTAAAAAAGTGTATTTTTTTTTCAAAGATCATTTTTCTTCAGAGTTTTCAAGGTCACTGACGTTTTCTAACTACGTATTTTTTTTTTTTTTTATTGCACCTTGTAACCGATGAAAATACTTTCAGATATATGAAATCGTCCAATTTGTGAAACAAATTATATTTATATAGGGTGGTCCATTCAAACGGGGCCACTTAGATATCTTTTCGAATTGCGATGATGCGCATGATATGAACGATATCAAAAAGACAATGTAATTTTTTTCCAAGATCATTTTTTTCGGAGTTTTCAATGTCATCGATATTTGTATTTTTTTTTTCTCATAAACTATATATATATTTTTTATTACATCGCGTAACTGGTAAAAAATACGTTCAGATATGTAAAGAACATGATCTTGAAAATGTAAGTTTTACAAATAAATTTTATAACTTTATGTCTATCGAGATTACAGATCTTAGCGACGATCGAAAGTCTAATAATAAATGTAAATAAACATGTTTACTATTTGTTTACATCGTCAATGATAATCTGTTCTAGCAGCTTGAAATTCCGATCAGCGTATCGAAATATCAGCGTGTCAGTAATTCACAATGGCGTACTCAGTGCAAGAAAAGATAGATGCGATATTCATTTACGATCAGTGTTTGAGAGAAGCAGTTCAAGATATATTTCCTAATCGTCCGTCACGAAATACATACTCAAAACTTTTCGTCAAACTGGCAATGTCATGAAAAAACATGCGGGTACTAAAACTATTAATAATGAAAGAAATAAAAGTATTACTGTAGCTAAAATTGAGGAAAATCCATACGTGAGTCCAAGACTCACTAGAGCGTGAGAGTAGCATTTTTAAAACTATCACAATACGAATATTAAAAGGAGAAAAATTTCATCTGTATCATTTATCTTTTCATCGAGACTTTCACAAAAGGATTCTGTAAATCCTGTGCATTTCTCACTGGGATTTGGCAGCAATATAAAAGTGATTAATCATTTCAAAAAAAAAAAATTAAATTTTTTGGATATCAGATTCATTTCAAGATTATTTTTTTTTTGCCAGTTATAAATGCAACGATGCAATAAAAGAAAATAGTTGTATGTATAGTTGTATGGAATATATTAAATACATGTATATATTGTTAATAGTTATATGTATTGCTAAATAGAAATAAGAAACAGTTACATGTATAATTGTATGAAAAAGAAACATCAATGATCTTGAAAACTGAAAAAATAAATCACTTTGGGAAAAAAGTATTCAATTATTGACCATTCATGTTAAAAATATTTTTTGCATCATTACAATTCGAAAAGATATTTTTTAGATATTCTCACTTAAATGAACCATCCTGTATATTTTTGGAGTTGAAAATGATGGTTCTGAATAGAAGAGTTATAGTTTCTTTAAGGCTGCACTCTGCTCATTATATTCGCGAGGTACTCAAGTTTACAATGTGTATGATGAACACAAATTTACGAGACAAGACACTCGGTCCATCCAGGCCTTATGTCCGTGTAAAGTTGATTTAAATGAACGTTATTATAATCGTTGTTTACGTTCTGTCATGCGTGCATCCCTTCTTTTTTGCTTCTGGGGACTTTTGTATTAAAACAGTCTTTGAACTCGTGGGAATAAGACAGCTCTCGGCGCAATTATTCTTTTTAATATTCATTATAGTTCAACGCGCGTGTGGATGAGTTCGCTCGTGCCTGTAAAATTAAACATTGCTCCAATTAAAGTACGCTCTTTCCTTTCGAACATAGAGAAACTGTATAAACCACTCTACGAATAAAAACGTACCATTTTATCCAGAACTTCTCCATTCTTTGTTTTCATTTTAAACTTCTGTCCCTCCCTGTATTCTCTGCTAATTTTCTGACGCAGAAAGAACATTTCGTTTAATTATATCTTGTATAATTCTCCTCGGATATATCGTTAACAAGATCACTGTGCAGACGCACAGTCTCATCGCAGGCTAGGGTTAAACCTGGACACAGGAAAAAAATCCCAATCCCACGAGGGTGCTGCAATTACCCTTCAAACACCATCTTGACCACATCCTGTCTTGGCGCTACGATTTCACCTTGGACACTCTTCTCCCCCTATCGTTCCGTACTTTTTTTTGGGCCACGTATGTACATACACAAGCTGCGCGTGGCCTGTCGGTTTCCTCGGGTTCAGGCACAGATGCACCGGTGGTGGTCGAAGAGTGGGGGTGGTGCGGTGGTGGAGGCACTCGCGTACAGTCTGGGCCCACTTGTTCGGACGATCGTCATGTCACTCGAAAGCGCGTTGCCATTCCGACAACATCGACTACGCGCGTCGTGTACCCTCGTTGCAAGAGTCATCGCCGCTCTTTCGTCCTCTCGCCCGCTAATTTGAATATATACCATACTTTCTCGCGTCGGGAAAGCCTTGACATCGCGCGAAAGTGCGTTCGTAAGAGTGCATTCTGAAAGTGAAGGGAGCTT